GGTACATGTTTCGGCCACAAGAAAGGTATTTATGGTCACTAGATTGGTGGATAGATGTTTTGGCTGATTACTATCATCAAACCTACAGAAAGGTTCTCTGCCATAAATTTGTAGGCGGGTGTCGAATCCCTGGTCTATGTGACTTCTCAGTACTGTGGGGGCCGAATGATCCTACAGGACTGTACTCAGGGCTATTTCAAGTACAGATTCTAGTTATATTTGATAATGTAAATAAATAAATAAATATTTTGTTATATTTATAGCATTTTTCAAACTTTTTTTTCAGAAATTGTGTGATCATGTATGTGAATTATTGCTGGAAGAATCCAATGTGCAACCTGTGTCATCGCCAGTAACAGTTTGCGGAGACATCCACGGACAGGTAGGTTTAGTTCCAAGCATGTCTATTCATTTTTTGTTCCCATTTATGAAAGAAGTCATAAAACTAATGGATTGACTTTACAGTATGCGTCTTTATGGTTGTTTGTTTTCTGAGAATTTATTCCAAAACAACTGTCATCTCTAGGTTTCTGCCTTGGCTGCTAATACCGTACTTCCCCGAGCATAAGCCCCTCCCCGAGTATAAGCCCACCCTCTATTTTTAGACATTTAACAGGTTGAGGGCATCCCCGAGTATAGGCCCAGCAGTGTTCTCCCCAGACTCATTGATCTATCTATTATTAGCGATTTTTCATTGATCTATCTATTATTTGTGTAATGCTACGATCACCGTAACATTGTCAGCTAACGGCATTGCGTTGAACGGGTATTCACCGCTGCTGTTACGATCATCGGTCCCTGACTTTTTTGTTTAAAAATACACAAACTTAGAATGTTTGCTTAATTAAAACGATTCATTGCTGATTAACTTAGAAATTACATCAAAATCGCCAACGAAATGTTGTTTTTAAACATCGCGGAAAACATGCACGCTGTGCCGCCATCTTTGTTACCTCAATCAAAATCTCCGTTGTAACCCAGCATGCATCGGTTGCGTTACGTCGCCTTAGGGTTGCGTTCCTCGGTAATGACGCACTATGAATGAGGTATTTCTAGAAGTCAGGGTTTGTTTTTTCCTCGTCCGTCTCGTCTGCAGTTGAATAATTTTTACTTCGATTTATTTACAGTTTTTTTTTCCGATTTTTTAATTCTTGGTAATTAGTGTCACTGGCGATGAAGTAGTAAAAACGCAATTAATCACAGTGCAGCAACTCGGGATAGACCATCCCGATGCAATGGGCAAATTATTACTACCCTAGTATTTTGGGTTTGCCAGCTCCGCACCCTTGATAGACTTGGTAACTTCTTGTAGACTTCCGTTTTTATCACTGTTTGTAAGGCTAACTATGTACAAAGGCGGGATTACCTTTTCGATCAATACATGTTATTGTTTTAAAGATGTGCTAGACGAGGCTGACACTTGTAAACAATACAACGTGAATAAGCATCGCGGGCAGGATTTCAAGGACCGCGGGCGAAACAAAAGCGACGCGGCTGTTTGTCTAAGCGACGTGGGCCCGCAGTGCTTGAAAGGCCTGGGGAGAACACTGGCCCAGGGTGTTTTTACTGGGCGTCAACGACATTTATTACAAATATGCATGTAAAAAGTGTATTTCAATGAATAATAATCTTGATTGGTACGGTAGTTTGGTTCCTGCTTTTACATGAAAACTCGAATTAATTTCAGAGTGCATGGCCGGTGAACGTACGGAACATGGTTCGAACCTTTTCTATTCTGTTATTTATTCAGGATGAACCCCGATGTTGCAATACTGAAGCAATCCATATTTCTTTTGAGTAGTGGTTTTAGAAACGCCAAAAATGTGATCGTCAAGTCGTGAAACCTGATCATTGAACATCGTTTTATATTTCCGAATAATCGTGTTCATTGAGAGTATCGTGAATGGGATGTGAACGAGCAAACTGTTCTTCGACGTGACTTGTTGGCGACCGTGAACAGTTTAATTACTTCCTCCACCCTCAGTTTACCTTTCGAAAATTGCGAATCAACAGCTTTAGGGAAAAATCACTGTTTTTTGTCGAAATCAGTTCGCATTTTAACATCGCGGTAATTCACTTCCGCATTGCGTTGAAAAAATGACTTCGTCAATAATCAGAAAACTTCGTTTGTACAACACAGCATTTTGATTGGTTAACGAAAGACATGACCTGTTAGGTCAAAGGAAGTTGTTCAGGTCAAATCATCATGAAAAACACCATGGCGGAAACTTCATTGTATCGAGAGATTGCGTACGATCGAAAACATTCCACAACGAAGATATTAACGATAAAGTTTTGCCTTCGACTGTTTTCCCACAGACCCTACCCATTTTGCACCGTAAATTCAGACGGTATGTAAACCGTATTGTAATAAATTGTGTGTATTTTTATGAACACGTTTGTTTCTTCATTTTAAAAAATGTCGTGGAAATTAAAAAGACGTAATATTTCTCCGAGACCGGCTTGTGAACGAAAAATGTAATTTGGATAATTGTTCGTGGTTGGGAAGGTGGTTACAATTTTAAACCCCCCAAAAAATTATCTTTTCTGATGTGGTCCTTAAGTATAAGCCCACCCCTAATTTTCCCGATTTTACATGTTCAGGCCCTTGGGCTTATACTCGGGGAAGTACAGTACTACATGTATGGATTGGTGGTGTTTTTTTGTTTTTTTCAATCACAAATATGTTTAGTCACTTTAACGAACAGAGAAGATAGCATTGCGAATTATCACCTGTGTGTACAGGGATGCGTTCGGTTGATAGATGTCCCCCACCACAGCCCTGCATACCTCCATAGACAGAGTCCGGTCGCACATCAGAGTTGGTGCGCAAGTTAAAATTAAGTAGTTTACCAGCTGAAATTGGTTGAAATGACGATATAGTTATCTGTAACAATTATTACAAAATTATCTGAAACTAAAATGTCGTAAAAAAAAAAGCGAGTAGTAAAGACAAAAAGTTTGTAAAAATGTAGGTACCAAGGAATCATCCACCAAACGCCATCATTTTTTACTCACATGTGCGAAGCACAAAATGGGAGTCTTTGCAGTTAGTGTGTGTCTGTATGTGTGTGTGTGTGTACTTGGATTGCTATATGTTGCGAGGACAAAAATACAGATATATAGCTACTTCCGAGGACAAACACACCTTCCGAGGACCTTTTTCATAGTCTTTGGAAAACATAATTTATATTAATAGTTAATGCGATTATTAATACATTTTGTGTAGCTTAGGTTTAGTATCGGGGGAAGGTATGGTTCACGTTATATTAATATTAATATAATTATACCATACCTTACCCCGATACTGAACCTAAGCTTCGCAAACATTTCTATGTTCAGTCACGGGATATTCAACTCTTGTTTAATTAAACTTAATTAAAATGCAATTCTCCATTGTATTGCATTGTAATTGAGTTTAATTAAACTCCAATTAAAACGCAACCCTATATAGGAACGCGTTTTAATCGAGTTCATATCGCAACTATATTAAAAGTTAATTCAACTATATTAAAAGTTAATCCAATGAAGTCCTCGGAACATATGGCAATACAAGTA